AACAGAACATGGAAATACTGCAAAGTTTAAAATCATGAAAGGTGTGTGACGGGTTTGTATCCTCTCACTATACTTATTCAATCTGTATGCTGAACAAATAACCAGAGAAGCTGAATGCACCATAAGGATTGGTGAAAGGCTTATTCAGAACCTCAAATAAGCAGATGACACAACCGTGCCTGATGGAAAGTACGGAGGACTAGAAGCACTTGCTGATTCAGATCAAGGCTTGCAGTCTTCAATACAGAGTAAAACTCAATGTAACGAAAACCAAAAATTTCACCACTGGACCAATAGCTAACTTCATGATAAGTGGAGAAAAGGTTGAAATTGTCAAGGATTTTGTCTTGCTTGGATCCCCAATCAATGTTCATGGAAGCAACAGCAAAAAGTTAAAACGACACACTGCATTGAGTAAGTCTGCGGCACAAGATCACTTTAACGTGCTGAAAAGCAAGGAAGTTACTTTGAAGACTAAGGTGTGCCTGATACAAGCCATGGCATTTTCAATCATCTCATATGCATGTGAAAGTGGGTTATTAAATAAGGAGGATTGAACACAAATTGATGCATTTGAATTGTCATTCTGGAGAAGAATATTGGGAGTACCATGGACTTCCCAAAAACCAAACAGATCTGTTTTGGAAGAAGTACAGCTAGAATGCTCCTTAGAGTCAAGGTTGTACATTAGAGATGTTATCATCATGTGTAGATACCAACTGGTGAACGTGTTATCAACATGTCTAGATACCAGTCTAGATACTAACTTGTCTAGAGACCAGTATCTCTATATACAAGGATACAATGCATCATAAAGTAGTAGGGCAGTGAAAAAGGGGGAAAGTCCTCAAAGAGATGGATTGACACAGTGACTGCAACAATGGGCTCAAACATAAGAACAATGTGAGGATGTGCAGGGCTGGACAGTGTCCTGTTCTGTTGTAGATAGGGTTGCTGTGAGGCAGAATGGACGAGACAGCCCTTAACAACACCTTCAGGTAATATAAGTATGGGGGGGGGGGAAACATTCCTGAGGCCAGGAAATGCTTATTCTCCTCAGCCACACCTTTGGGTTAGTAGCTTAGCCACTAAGCCACCTCCATACCCTAAAACTAGAAAGATGTTTGCCTATGTTTTATTGACTACACAGAAACATTCGAGTGTGTGGATCATAACAAATTATGGCTAACACTGTAAAGAAAAGAAATTCCAGAACAGTTCATATGCTCATGGAGAACCTGTACATGATTTGTCAGTGGTTTGAACACATCATGATTTGAAATCAGGAAAAGTGTGCACCAGGGTTACATGCTTTCACCATATGTATTCAGGACTCATTTACAACCTATGATATACAGGAGACACAACCTTGCTAGCTGGCTGTGAAGAGTACTTTGAGGCACTTAGTGATGAAGATAAATGACTGCAGCCTTCAATATGGATTACACCTCAACATAAAGAGAACAGAAGTCCTCACAAGTGGACCAATAAGCAAAATCATGATAAGCAAAAGATTGGTGTTATCATTGTTCTATTCAATTGGCATTCCATGATGCACACTTTCCCAAAACGATCACTGAAGACAAATGTGTGCATAAGCAAATGTGATGAAGAAAGCTGATGGTGCCTGGCTATCAAAAGATATAGTGTCTGGGGTCTTAAAGGCTTGCAGGTAAACAAGCGGCCATCTAGCTGAGAAGCATCAAAGCCCACATGGAAGAAGCACACCAACCTGTGTGACCACAAGGTGTAGAAGGGACCAGGTATCAGACATCAAAGAACAAAAACTCATATCAGTGGGTGCCCACCTTCCCGACACAATCACTGAAAACAAACGTGTGCATAAGCAAATGTGGTGAAGAAAGCTGATGGTGCCTGGCTATCAGAAGATATAGCATCTGGGGTCTTTAAGGCTTGAAGATAAGCGGCCATCTAGCTCAGAAGCAGCAAAGCCCACATGGAAGAAGCACACCAGCCTGTGTGACCACGAGCTGTCAAAGAGATCAGGTATCAAGCATCAAAGAACTAAAAATCATATCATTGTAAATGAGGGTGAGTCCAGAGTGGAGACTCAAAGCCCATCGGTAGGCAACTGGACACCCCATTACTAAAGGGTTGTGGGGAGGAGATGAGTCAGTCAGGGTGCAGTGTAGCAACAATGAAACATATAACTTTCCTCTGATTATTAAATGCTTCCCCACCCCTCAGTATCATGAACCCAATTCTACCTTACAAATCTGGCTAGACCAGAGGATGTACATTGGTACAGACAGCAACTGGAAACACAGGGAATATAGGACAGATGACTTCTTCAGGACCAGAGGTGAGAGTGGCGATTCATGGAGGGTGGAGGGAATGTGGGGTGGAAAGGGGGAACCGATTACAAGAATCTATGTATAACCTCCTCCCTGGGGGATGGACAACAGAGAAGTGGGCAAGGGGAGATGTCAGATAGTGTAACATATGACAAAATAATAATTTTTTAATTATGAAGGGTTCATGAGGAAGGGGGGAGTGGGGAGGGAGGGAGAAAATGAGGAGCTGATATTAAGGGCTCAAGTGGAAGGCAAATGTTTCAAGAATGATGATGGCAACAAATGTGCTTGACACAATGGATGTATGTATGGATTGTGATAAGAATTGTACAAGACCCCAATAAAATGATCTAAAAAAAAGATTGGTGTTATAGAGGATTTTATTTTACTTAAACCAGGATCAGTGCTATGCAAATAGCAGTCAAGAAATCAAAGTACATCTTGCACTGGACAAATCTATGGCTGAAAGCCTCTTAAAAGTGTTAAACAGAAGTAAATATGCCACCTTGAAGACTCATGGGCACTTGGTCAAGTCATGCTATCTTCTATCACGTCATATACATGCAAAAGCTGAACAAGCATCAAAGACAAATTGGTATTTTTGTACTATGATGTTGGAATAGAATACTGACTATACCTTGGGCTTCTAGAATGAACAAATCTGTCTTAGAAAAAACACAGCCAGAATTCTCCTTAGAAGCAAATATAACAAGACTTCATTTTACATACTTAGGACATAAAGTTATTATTAGAAGGAACCGGTCCCTAGAGAAGGCCATCATGCTAAGATGGGTTGACACAGTGACACCAACGGTTTTAAGGGTGGTGCAGGACAGGAGAGTGTTTCCTTTTGTTGTACACTGTGTCGTCAGACCCAATTTGATGTCACCTAAAAACAAAATCTTGGTGACTTGAAATTTCCCTAGATTCATACTCCATAATTGCACATTACAATCGTGAACAGATGCTTGCAATTGTTTGCTCTCTTTTTGTGTTGTGCCCCATCAGCATATAAAAGTCTCAGAGACTTTACTTCATCCACAGCATTACGGTCAACTCTAATTTGAGAAAGCAGCTCTTCCTCAGCCATATTTTCAGTGCCTTCTGACCTGAGGGGCTCTTCTTCTGGCACTGTCTCTGACAATGTTCTGCTTCTATTTGTTAGGTTTCCAGCAGCTAATCACTCAGAAGTGGACAGCCTATTCCTTATTCCTAGTCCATTAGTAGCTCCAGTGAAACCTGTTTGTCGTAGGTGTCCCCACTAATATTTGAAATACTGGTGACATAGTCCCAGTATCACAGCAACATGTTAACCACCACTGTATAACTATCTGTCAGACAAGTTCTAGAAGCAAGGATGGCAAGACTTCATCTCACAGACTGGTCATGTATCAGGAGAGATCAGTTGGGAAGGACATCATTCTTGGTAAACTGAGGGAACATAAAAAAGAGGAAGATAAGGCCTTAATAAGATGGACTGACATAGTGGATGTAACAGTGGACTCAAATATACCAGTAGGGAGAATGACGTAGGCAGAGCAGCAGTTTATTCTATTGAGCATACTGGACAGCATCTAACAACAGCACCATATTGGAAATTTTAAAACAGTGCACCTTATCAGTTAATCACCCAACAGGAAAAAGATGGAACACTTGAAATAGAATAATTAAATGGAAGCTTATTCATAGCATCGGCACTTTAAAAGTGGGCATAAGGGAACCAGAGGAGATAATGCAATAATCCAAAGGATCCCTGGTGTTGCATTAGGCTGCTAACTACAGATTAGTTGTTCAAACTCGCTAGCCCCTCCGCAGATGAAATATGAGGTTATCTGCTTCTGTAAAGACGTATAGCCTTGGAAATACGTTGTAGGGTCACTATGAGTTCACTATGAGTCGGAATCTACTCCATAGCAATGGAGGTTTTTTTTGTTTTTAATTTGTTTTGTTTTCTAGTACCTAAACTAACCTTTGGCCTAAAGGGACTAAAGGAAAGAACATTCCAGGAATTCAGAAGGGAGAGTTATGTCAAGTAAAATGCCTTCAGAGGAACAGTGACCTCTGACAGCTGGAGAAAGACGAATCAAAGTGACCTCATACAAAGAAAGCCCGAGGAATAAATCCAACTCCACCCTCGTCCCTTCTCCAGGGTTTCTTATTGGATGAACCCAACTAGACGTCAGAAGGACTGAATTTGGTCCATGCAGCTGAGCCTCATTGTAGGGTAAAGAAAGAACGAACAGTAAAATCTGTGGAGATACTTAAAACACTCTACTGTCCTCTAGTCTTTTATTTTATTATTATTATTTTAAAATAATTGTATTCGGGGTTCATACAACTCTTATCACAATCCATTGTGTCAAGCACATTTGTACATTTGTTGCCATCATCATTTTCAAAACATTTTCTTTCCCTCTAGTGTTTTATAGTCTAAGCTTTTAATTATCTGCAGAGAGAGAGCTTCAGGCACTGCATATATATGTAATATGATATCACATATTGATCTATAATATAATGGCATATCATATCATATCTTAAGGATATATAATGACATATATACATGAGTATAATATAATGCAGTAATATAAAGAAAAATTTTTAAGGGTAAGAATAGAAAAAGTCAAAACAAAACTGTCCCTATTTGCAAATGACTTGATGGTATATGTAGAAACACTAAAAGAATCTACAAATAAAGCATCAGAATTAGTAAATGAATGTGTTACAGTTAGGTTTTATGTCGATTTATATGGGCCAGGATTCTCCTATGATTGGATCCAATATAGTGTGGTCAACTATGGCATCTTCTTAAAGCAGCCAAGCAGTTGTGGGGAGAATAAAAAGACTCACTGCCATAGAGTTGATTCAGACTTATAGTGACCTTACAGGTCAGGGTATAACTGCCCCTGTGGATTTCCAAGACTCTAACTGTAATGGCCTTGATACTTTAGAGAAACAAATCCACAGAAACTCGTGTATAAGAGAGAGCTTTATATAAAGGTTAAGTGCGCATCAAGAAAACATCCCAACCCAGTGTTGCCTAAGCCCACAAGTCCAACATTAACTCATATGTCCAACACCAATCCACAAAGTCCTCCTCCATCTCACAAAACAGACGCAATGATGCCGACTGCAGGACGAAAGCAGAGTCAGTGAATGTGTAAGCATCTCAGCACTGGCAGGGGTCTCCACACGGCTGCTCCAGCACCCAGTGCTACATCGGGGCAGGAAGTGAGCCTTGTCAGTTGAAGCAGGGAACTGGCTAAGGCAGCTGCACCCTGGTCCGACCATCAGAAAGCAAGACACCGGAGAGCTAGAAAGGCGAGGCTCACCAAGCCATTTATTCCTCCACCCTTTAATTAACCCCACTTGTGTTTATTGCCCAGGTTGGCACAATAAACTACCTAACTCAGTAACTCTTTAAAGGAGTAGAAAGCCTAGTCTTTCTCTCATGGGGCAAGCTGGTAGTGGCAAACTGCTGACCTTGGAGTTAGCAGTCCAACAAGTAAGTTCTACACCAAAGTTCCTGGTTATAACCTTGAAATAATTGAGGTTTCATTTAAGGTGTAGCATTCTCTTAGCATAAATTGACAGTGTGTGGAAGCTAGCTGACTTTTGCTTCCAGATTTGGACCCTGCGTCTGGTTTGTCTACCTCCTGTTATATTGCTTTCCAATCTTGGAAGCCATCAGCAGACTGCTAATCTTGGATTCATTCCGCTTAGCGTCCCCCAGCCCGTGGTTTCCCAGCTGCATCTTTCTGCTTCCTGTTTCTTATTCTCTAGGGCTACAGTAGTCAGGAGAGGACTTCAGCTTACATCTGACCCATGGATTTGAAGAAGACTAGACTTACCTACAAGCACGTGAGCAATTTCTTATTTTAAATTTCTTTCTATATACCTACATACACAAGCATCACTGGCTTTGTTTCTCAAGAGAACCCAGCCTAATATAGGTAATTACAGGTATGTTAACTTCATTATCATTCAGAATTATGCATGTATCGATTTGCATATTTGTATTTTTCTGCAATAGATATTATCTTTTTTTTACAACAAAGAGTAAAAGTGTATTCTTTTTTTCCTATACCATACCTCTCTCAGCATAAAATTCAGTGGGTCTTCTGGTTTTTCATAGACCAAATTTTCTGTTATCTGCTGAGATAGAACATAAGGTATTACATTATGGTTTTGAGTAAAAGTTATGTGGTCAGGTTATTTTAGTGTGGTCTTCTTTTGCACTAACCTAAAATGTACAGTAGTATTTTGAAGAGATTAATATGTCTCTAAAAAATAGCACATTGTTTTTCTACTCCTGATAAAATTAGGCAAAATAAAGAAAAATTTGAGGAATAAAACATTTAGTAATAAATAGCAATAGTTATTTTATTAGTTTTAAGAATTAAGGAGTTAATGAGAAAATCTTTTTGGAGAAAGTTTTTGACTTTGGAATTCTGGTATTATTAGACTAAAAAATGAATGACTTATTTGTTTAAGACAATTGTGAAAGTTTAAAATATAAAAAACATCTTAATATTTTACATAGCAATGTTCTTCTGAGATATTTGATTTTAAAAGGTAAAAGTGATGTTCAGTGTTTGTAAGAATGAATGAGAAAATATAGCTAACATATCAGAGATTCACTACCATGCTTGTTGTTGTTTTTCCATTACCTGACAATTATAATAAAGCCTGCATGAGTCTTATTTGCAGGGAATAATCACAGGGCAAATATCAGGTGGGGAGAAGGGCGACAGGGGAGCTGATATCCTGTAGCTCAGGAAGGAAGAAAATTTTTGAAAACTGATTGTGGTAGCAATTGCACAATACTGCTTAATCTGATTAAACTATAGAATAATATGATGTCTGTATTAGCTCCTAATGAAATGGTTTTGAAAAAAAACAAAACAAAAATGAAAGAACTAGGAGGCAAAGGGCATTTATGAAGGTCTAAATACAGGCATGTACATATGTAAATATATTTTTATATGATGATGGTGAAATAGATCTATGTGCATATATATATAGGTTTAGTATTAAGGTAGCAGATGGAAATTGGGCCTCCATTCAAGTACTCCCTCAGAGCAAGAACACTTTGTTCTATTAAACTGGCATTCCATGATGCTCACCTTCCTGACACCATCGTTGAAGATAAAGTGGGTGCATAAGCAAATGTGGTGAAGAAAGCTGATGGTGCCAGGCTATCAAAAGATATAGCATCTGGGGTCTTAAAGGATTAAAAGTAACTAGCTTCTAACTCAGAAGCAACAAAGCCACATGGAAGAAGCATACCAGCCTGTGTGATCAGGAGATGTTGAAGGGATGAGGTATCAGGCATCAAAGCCCATATGTAGACAACTGGACCTCCCTTTATAGAAGAGTCACGAGGAGGAGACAAGCCAGTCAGGGTTCAGTATAGCAACAATGAAACATACAACTTTCCTCTAGTTCTTTAACGCTTCCTCCCTCACACTATCATGATCCCAATTCTACCTTACAAATCTGGCTAGACCAGAGCATGTACACTGGTACAGATAGGAACTGGAAACAGGGAATCCAGGACAGATGAACCCTTCAGGACCAGTGCTGAGAGTGGCGATACTGGGAGGGTGGAGGGAAGGTGGTGTATACAGAAAGGGGGAACTGATTACAAGAATCTATATATAACCCCCTCCCTGGGGGACAGCTAACAGAAAAGTGGGTGAAGGGAGATGTCAGACAATGTAAGATATGACAAAATAATAATAATTTATAAATTATCGAGGGTTCATGAAGGAGGTGGGGTGGGGAGGGTGGGGAAAAATGAGGAGCTGATACCAAGAACTCAAATAGAAAGCAAATGCTTTGAGAATGATGATGGCAACAAATGTACAAATATGCTTGACACAATGGATGTGTGTATGGATTGTGATAAGAGTAGTACAAGCCCCCAATAAAATGATTAAAAAAAACCCCCCAAAACAAAAACAAAAACCAATAACTACCTACATACCATCTATAAAACCCACAATGACAAAACTAAAACATAAAAATTGCAATATTAATTGATGACAAAATATACTTAAAAAAAAAAGCTAGAAAAAGAGACAAGAAAGGATTTTATACAACGATTAAAGGGTCAATTGAACAAAAGGTCATAACCATTATAAATAGCTGTGCACCCAATGAAAAAGTCAGAAATACTTTTAATATCCCACAGAATTGAAGAAATAGGCAATTCTAGAAGAGTAGCAGGTGACTTTTATACATTGCTCTTGCTGAAGGACAATACAAATAGAAATTCAACAAAGACACAGAAGCATGAACTAAAAGTTACACAATCACTTTTTAAAATCTCTAAGCATTTATTGCTTCTGTTTTAAAAACATTATTTTCTATTTTTTTATCATTTTATTGGAGGCTCATACAACTCTCATCACAATCCATACATACATCAATTGTGTCAAGCACATTTGTACATTCGTTGCCCTCATCATTTTTTTGTAATTACCTTTTTCTTTCCCTCTCAGTTCTCTCTATAGAGAACACAATCAAATTGACCCCAAGGACATGCACAGAACACTCTACCCAGCAAGAGTACAGTATATTCTTCTTAGGTGGATATGAAATATTCTCCAGAATTGACCAGATATCAGGCCACAAAATAAGCCTCAATAAATTTACATGTATTGAAATACTACAAAGCATCTTTCAGGTGTCAAATGTTCAAGCATCTCTCAGTTGTCTTGTCCCATCGCTCCTGATTCCTAGTTTTTAATTTATTTTGTGTTTCTATTTGTCGTGTTTCCCTGAATTATTGAAGTTTTGTCTATCTTTTTCTTGATTTGTTCTGTAGTGTTATCCATTAAAAAAAAAACCCCAAATATCATTCTTTAGAGTTCCTTATCTGGTAGTTCCAATTCCATTTCTTCTCAAAAGGTTTCCTGGCTCTCTTTTGGTTATTTGTTTGAGCCACCCTATTTTGCTTCTTTATGTGAACGGAAATTGTTGCCTCTGAAACATTGTATTTGAGTGATGATTGTATGCTGGTGTATTCTTAGGCACTCACTATCTTCTGGTGGGTGTGGTAGAAAATGGGAAGTATGCACAGTTCTCTGCTGTTTGTGTGGCACAGGTGATGTTGGGTTAGGCTGCTTCCTGTCATCGAACAAATGTTTCAGGAGTGGGTATTGGCTCTTATCTAGTACGTAGGGACCCTGGAGGTATGGGTGTTACTAAACCATTTGGACATGTTTGCTGTCTCTGTCAAATGGGATAGAAGAACAGAGAAACAGCAGCAAAAAAATTAATAAAGAAAAAAAAGAGTAAAACAAGAAAACAATGGCAAGTAGAAAGAATTTAATAACTAAAAAGAAAAAAACAAAAAGGAAGCAAGTTAAAAGAAAAATAAAAGAAGCGGAAAACACCCTCAAAAACTGAGAGGGAAAGAAAAAGGTAATTGCAAAAAAACGATGAGGGCAACGAATGTACAAATGTGCTTGACACAATTGATGTATGTATGGATTGTGATGAGAGTTGTATGAGCCTCCAATAAAATGATAAAAAAATAGAAAATAATGTTTTTAAAACAGAAGCAATAAATACTTAGAGATTTAAAAAAGTGATTGTGTAACTTTTAGTTCATGCTTCAACTGTTCAAAAGTTTTCCTGTAGAAGAGTTAGTTATCTGAATTTAATAAATTTGGATGTTTTCCTGGTATGGACCATCTCTGAAATTTCAATAAATATCTTAAATGAAAAAAATACGATAAAAAAACAAAAATAAAAGGTGAAACAGAACAAACAAAAAGGAACAGTAAAGTAAATGTGCTTGACACAATGGATTGTGATAAGAGTTGTACAAGCCCCCAGTAAAATGATTAAAAAAAAAAGGAATAGTAAAGTTGTGCAAGAAAAATAAAACAAAGGAAAGAGACGAAATGGAGAAAAAAATAAAGGAGCAAATCAGGATAGTTCAGAAAAGAAAAAAATGGTGCTGTCCAGGGTATTTGGTCCAGTTTGGAGCCTTCTACCAGCCAAGGAGACAGGGATGAGGGTTGGTATGCTGTCCTAGACGGAGTTCTTCTCAGTCTGGGGCCAGAACGCCTGATCCAAGAAATAGTTTGTGCCAGCTGAGAGGTAGCGTGTTCCCAGATGGCACTCTTTTTGACTGGGGAATGGTGGCTGGTTCTAGAAAGAGTTTTGGCATGGTCAGAGGTTCCTGGGGCAGATGATTCATCTGGCATTGTGCATTCTTTCTTTCTTTTTAAACTAATTTTATTGACATATAGTTCATGTACCTTACAATTCAATGGCTTAAATACATTAAAAAGGGTTGTGCAACATCAATTTTAGAATATTTTCTTCATTCTTGTACCCATTGTTATTATTAGCTCCCCATCACCCCCCATCTATCTTGCCATAACCCTAGGTTACTATTAATCTAGTTACTGTCTCTATAGGTTTACTTGGCCTGGATTTCATACAAAGAGAATCATACCAAAGAATGCCAACAACAACAAAATAAAACACATGAAAATCTTAATCCAAGTGAAAGCAGAATATAACAGAAACTAGAACAAATAAAACATGGGTCAAAAGGGAAACTCATGAATATCCTGTGGTATGAAAATTACACAACCTTGCTTGCTAATAGTGTTGCAGTCCAAGAACATTTGACTTACTTACAGAGATCAAAGCCTTCACCCTTCAGTATGGATTATATCTCAACAACAAAAGAACACCCTCACAACTGGACCAATAAGCAGCATTACAATAAGTGGAGAAATGACTGAAGTTGTCTAGGATTTACTTTCACTTGAGGCATTAAATTATGTATTGCACTGGGCAAATCTGCTGCAAAAGATCTCTTTATTTTTATTTTAAAAAGACATATTATCATATTATCTTGTTTTGTTATAGGTTCCCTATAATCAAATATAAATATAACAAAGGTTATAAATGGTGTTACATAGTTAAGCATTTACAAATACCTAAAATTATAGTCAAAATGGAGAACAAAATCTTTGCAAGTTTTTCAGTAACTGCTTCTACGAAATAAAGGAAAGTTAAATTGAACTGAATTCAAGGATGATTTTATACACACACACACACACACACACACACACGTAAGTATCTTGCTCTTCAGTGTAGAAACTTACATTTTTGTACTACAGAGAAGAAATTTATGCATATAATGTGTACTTTCACTACCCTGGTGGCACATTGGAGGAACTATTGGCGGTTAAGTAAAAGGTTGGAAAACTGAACATACTAGCTGGTAAACAGGAGAAAAATGGGTAGCCTTAGAAACCCTATAGAGAAGTTCTTCTCTGCTTTAGAGGGTGGCTATGAGTAAGAACCCACTCATCAGTAGTGAATTTGTTTCTTTGTTTTTTAAAAAGTTAAAATTAATATAATATTTACTGAAAACTTCTTATAATTTTGATTGAAGCACGTTTTATTTTTAGTAAAATGATGTTCACATAATTTTAAATAAAAAATTTAGATAATAACTTTGTATTCAACAGTTTAAACCACTCAACATCCCCACCAAATTCCTATTTCACCCATCAACAACTAGAAAGGTCTCCCTAAAGGGTTAAAAAGTAAACATAGCACTGAATACTAGGCATGCCTGATCCAAGCCATGATATTTTCAATTGCCTCCCATGCATGAAAAAACTCAACAATAAATAAAGAAAAAGGAAGAATTGATGTCGTTGGAAAAGAATATTGAATGGACTTCTATGGACTCCCAAAAGAACTAAGTGTCTTAGAAGAAGTATAACCCAAATGTTCCTTAGAAGCAATGGCAATACTTGACTTCACATATTTTGGGCATGTTTATCAGGATGGATCAGTATTGTTGGAAAAGGCCATGATTGTTGGTAGAAGGTCAGCAAAAAACAAGGACAATCCTCGGGATATAGATTAACATAGTGGCTACAACAAAGGGTTGAGAAATAGCAAAGATTGTGAAGATGGTGCAGGCCTGGGCAGTGTTTCATTCTGTTGTACACAAGGTTGCTATCAGTTGAAATTTACTTAATTTCCAATGGCCACAGCAGCAACCACAAATTAATTATATGCATCGCTGTGTAAAAACAGTAACCTAAAAATAAGCATGAAGAAAACAAAAACAGCCTACTAACCACACAGCCACATATGTGCGTGCACACGAATACACACATCTATGTGTGTGCTCGATAATCCAATCTGGTAAATTCTGTATTGGCCAATGAGGGTCAATCTTTAAATTAGGTTCTAACACCACATCCTGAGGTCAATGAAATTTGGAATCTCCAGTATTACAGGCAACTTTTAACTTTTTCCTCCTAAAAAGAATGCTTCCTTAAATAGCCATGAGATCAATCATCTTTTTGAAAGAATTATACCCTTACCTGGAATTTTTTTCCCTCTCCTTTTAAATTGCCAAAATGTTTTCCTTTATTCCCAGACTAGCTCAAACTTTATCATCTCCATGTCTTCTTATTCGCCTTCTCCTCTCCTCCTTCTCCTTCTCCTCTCCTCCTCCTTTCTCCACTCTCCTCCTCCTCCTCCTTCGTGTTTTTCCTTCATGTTTTTCTTTATCAAGAAACTTACCTGATCATCACAGAAGAAGTATTGTGTGCTTCTTGAAAGTCAGTCAAAATTTGCGTTATACTACCATTACTGTAAACATCACAATTAAAGAGAGGGGTAGTGAGATTTACCTGGAATATTTGTAGAATGTTGTGCTTCTCCACATATTTAAGTGCCAGTTGATAAGGATCATCATGTTGTACTGAAGAAAATGTCTTTTTATAAGCTGATTTGCGCTCTGGTAAGCTATGTTCTTTTTCAAACTGTGAAATACCATCCTGAAAATGAAATATCACCCCAAAGAGTCTTTAATAAAATTTATAGCCCCAGGAACTTTCATTATTATCAATCTCGTGTTGATGGGCTCTGAACATATACAAGGGTCTGAAGAAAAGCCACATTTTTAACTGAGATATTCAGCTGATCTGTTAGGCAAATATATTGCACCTCAAGACTTGGGAGATACTTTGGGAATCTTGTACTAAAAAATGTTTTCCCTTTATACGAATTTCCAATCTACTTCAAAATTCTGTCCTTTGATAGAAACCCAGAGAATGGAAATGCTAAGAGTTATGGGAGTCAGAATATAAAATTCAGGTCTCCTGAAGTCTAAATCATTGTTCTTTCCAGAATAAACTTAAGTGTAGTAGAGAAGGAAAAACAACTCTTTTCTTTCTACCCATCTACTGCCCTTCAACATGTGGCTTTGGTCCTCAATCTTAATCCAGCATGTTTCCCTACCTTCTTCCCCACCCAATGCTCCAACCTCCCATAGAGGAAACAAAACGTTGCTTTAACCTACAGGCTTGTTTTCTTGACTGAGTTTATAGTTCAATTTGGATGAGATAGAAGGAAATATTTGGGGAAAGTGTGGGACTGCTGCTTGGAAAAAATGGGTTAATTCGCTCTCCGATGGGCTGTTGTTTTGCAAAACGTCTGTACTATTAGTGTCAGTTTCTATTGCAATGGAAATTCTGGGTTGGAAGTCCTTTGGGTGACCCTCCAATTTGTCGGATTGTAATCTGTCATCAGCCTCTTCACTCTCCTTGCTATCCTTAAACAGGGAAAATATTCTGTTGTCATACTGGCCAGATGTTCTGTCCTCTTTTAGGTCGTCTTCAGCGTGACCATCTTCTTTGTGCATGAAGTGGTCAACCTGGTAATCTACTCCATTCTTAACATGGTCAAATTCATTGTAGTCATCCTCATATTTTACAGATTCAGAGGCTCGGTGATACTGTACAGATGTTCTGGGGTCAGTAGCACCAGGCAATCTGTGGCCAATCTGTTCAGGAGTTCTTTGGTCAGTTGAGATGGACGGTCTCTGGCCAGTCTGTTCTGAAGGTCTTCGGTCAGTTGAGATGGACGGTCTCTGGCCAGTCTGTTCTGAAG